ACTGGCCGCGGAGTATAAACGCTGCCTCAGCTGATGAAACGATATCGGCTTCCTCTCGACGGCAACAACGGAGACGGGAACATCATGAGTTCACCAACAAAACCAAGGAAAGCGGTCAGGGGGCCTACTCAATATTCAAAGTTCAAAATGTTGCTGTGGCGAGTGTTTATGATTGGCTAGACTACTATAACCCAGCGAGTAATAGAATTCTAAGTCCTTGAACTTCATCCACAAAGCACATAGCGCGCAGCACAGGCCGATTCCAAAATGCTTTTCGCAGTGCAGGGAAATTGAAAATCCGCACCCTCTAGAATAAAGCTATTTAGAAAAATTCTTAATGAAACGACTCCCTGAAACCTCCTACGACATCCCCGCAACTGAAAGTTATGCAACACAATCGATCGCACAAACTGCGGTAGTGTGATTCTGATGATGTCGTTAATTGAAGCAAGTACGAAATCCAATTGTCTACAGATCGAATCGTTTTTCCTGTTTTCTGTTGAATACCATGGGAATATGGAGCCGCAGTTGTAGTTTGTGTAACGTTGTTTGCCCTTCATTGTCCTCATTATACGTCAGTATATGAGGGCAGGGTAATGAGGTATCATGTACTCAGAATACTAAGTGAGCAAGAACTTAATTCCAAACATGTACTTTGGGGGAAAGTGCCATCAGTCCTTTGAATAGAAAAACTATATAGTGCCTAGTATTCCTTGGATTTCATCACATCTAGGCATAAGAACGAGTGTTCGCTCTAAGAAAACATTACTGCAGCCAAAACCAGGTTGTTCCTCGTCCTTTGCCATCATCAACACCCTACGTCCCACAAAACAGTGTGTATTGATAAAAGCGACCATAAGAGCTTTTCTACGGATATTCTCACTTTTTCTTGAACTACTTACCAACCCACGGCATAAGGTGTAAACTAATCCAGTGTCCATTCTTAAGCATACAGAGAAGGTTGAAGGTGAGAAGCGCGCTCCTTGACATTATTAGCATGTGTTCAAGGTAGTGCTTCAACAGTAGCTCTCTCTCTACAGTCACAGTTTCGGGCCCTAAAAACATTGGTTGCTTCAGAAAACAATTCTTGAAACCATGGCAACTAGATTGACAATCGTGAACGCTATCGTACACGAATCCCTCCCCGTACGATTGTGCAATCATGGTAAACGGTAGGCTGAACGAATACATAAACTCTGGACTGCAGTGAGCACAACATGTTCCATGAAGCAAGCAAAAATTTCAAAATGAAAAAAAATGAAAATTCAATTTTTTAAATTTAAAAAGACGATTTTGAGATTTTTACGCCTTACTACCATTGAATTCCTGACCTTTAACCCACAGGTAAGGAAAGTCACCCAGGAATACGACCCCCCCCATTAACACCTATACATAGTATTTTATTCTTAGACCAGTCAACACAACAAAATAATCAAAGACCCCGCTCAAATGACCAGCCACCCCCATGATAACTATATCTTCAACTTCCAAAAAACGAGGCCCTTTGGTTCGAAGAGAGGTCGACTCTAAAACTGATTTCTATTCACAAATACGACCTCTACCGTGTTCTAGACACTTCTTGAGGAATATTCGCAGCCCAGCCTACTTTTGCCATTGCGTTTAGTGCAAATCGATTTTAAAGAACACTGGTAGTAAAGAATAATTTAAAGCCAATAACTTCCCATATCAGCAATGACCTGTTGGGGAAGTTCTTCAACTCAGAACTAACCATAAGTCACGAGCTTTAGTAACAACTCGAGGTGAAAGACACCTCACACTAACAGAGTAGAAACCCCTCGGCGGTTCTTCTGGCCATAACCGAGTGTCCGTTCTCAACACTATCGATTCGATGGTATGAACCAGAAACCTGTTTAATACGTGTGATCGAAATCAACGTGACAATCACCTGGCGTAAAACCGGATGTTAAACGAATCGATTAGCCACATTGCGCTACTCCCAGACAGAAAGAGTGGAACGGCGAAGGAAAGCGAAAATGATCGATGTTCTGCCAAAGACGTAATTCTTCCACAAAATTGATTCAACGGGACCAGAAATCGTTCACCATTTCGCGGTTGAAAAAAAAGGTAGAAGGAAATCAAAAAATGCAAAAATAATATTTGAAGACGTTGCACGTTACTGAATAAACATTTATGGGTATGCAGCTCTCAATAAGCGAGGTTTAAACACTTCAGATCAAATAACTGATTTACAAGTTGTCAAGAGCTTTTATTTGATTGACTGGCAATTAAAGACGAGTCCCTTTATTAAACTAGTTGCACACTAATGAGCATCGGTAAATGCAATTATCTTTCAGTCTCGACTTAGCGCAAAAGTTCCACAGAGACTGACCTAATACTAGAAAGGTTTGTTTGTGCACTTAATTCATGATCTAGGAAATGCAGGTCAACTCTCAACTTCAAAAAAGCATCCTCCATCAAGAGAGCAAAACAGTACCCAAAGTTATCAACTGCACATAGTGACACCCGTTGTGCATCTTTACAATGGTTGAAAGCGATGTTAGAAGTTATACAAGAAGTAAATAAGTGGCAACCTGTCACGGCACTTTTCCTCACATGCCGAACCGAACAGAGTCTCGCTATCTGTGTTAGAATTTTGATAGTTCAAGTTCATTTGCATTTTTAAAAACCAGGTGGTTTTTATTGAATAATGAAGCCATAAGCAGATAACCTATCCATTCCGCGATTTCTAAGACAAAACCATTACCGCGAAAGTGAGATGACGAGAGGACCAGTTCCCTCGAAAAATTTTGGAAATTGCGTGCATGAATTCATTGTGATGTCATTTGTATCACTATTGAAGATTTGAAAACGAAACAGGTAAAAAGAACAGGACAAGCATGTGGGAAGAGATAAAAAGGGAACAAAATAAGACGGTGATGGACAGCGACTGTCTTCGAAAGCACCAGAAGTAAATAGGAATTGAAAACAACTTACCAACTTGAGCAGACGACCCAGTTGAAAGCACCTGACCATCCGATGGATGCAAAGAAATATGGAACTGTGGTAAAAATCGATTTACTTGCCGACCTGAACGAACAAGATCGAAATTGTGGTTCATCCCTGTACAAATTTCAATAATGTTAAGAACCTTTCGAATTTGATATGATTGGAGATGGAAATGAAAGGGATTCCAAGTAGAAGAGAGGCGCATCATGCTGGTTCAGAGGAAAACAAGAGGAAGACCTAAGTTTTACACTGCCTATCAAAGCTTGCAAAAGGAGACAAAGAAAACTTCGAATTTTATTAAACATACCGACAAGAAGTGGCACTAATCCTCCGAGATGTTCCATGCATAGAACATAAGAGTGACTTCCCCTGGACAGCGGTTTGATCGTGCAGTAACACCTTGCTTCACTTGCACTACATACGAATGAACACAAGTCGTCAACTCGTGGTATTCGGCACTGAAACATGACCATAATTGTGATTTTGCCACCAGTTATTCAAGGATTGGGAGATTTCAGCCCACTGAGCTTCCCATCGCTTGCTCTTCCCATTTACCAAATGTTCTCTTCACACTATTAATGACACACGTGAACGTCTACAGCGGAACACGTGATAATGAAAAATTAACAAATGTTCCAGCATTTACAGCGAAGAACCCGTTGTCCAAATGATGAGAAAACGATAGAACAAAATAAAGAAAATAAAAAGGAAATCAAGTAACAGATGCTCACCGAATCTGTGAATGATCAAGCGAATGCAAGGCATTTTCTCTTTCACAGGTATCGGCAATGAGTCCACTTTCTTCGACTCCGAGCCCAGATATCGCCACAGCTTCATAAGTGACTAGATCGAACAGAAGTGGAACACCCAATAGCAGCTTGCCGATGGCGAGGTGACCTCCAGCAGCAACGATAACAGCTCGGCCCTCGTGAGCCCATGTTAGCGCTGACAGTGGCTTGTCCTTCGGTAGAGCCAACGTCTCCTTGTGGACAACGCGAGCTTCACGGTCTAACATTACTAGTTCGTGATTAGAGTTGATTAGAGCGAGAATCGAGCCATCGCTGTTCCACTGCATCTGCACAATGGAATGCGGAGACGAATAAACGAGTGGGTCTATTTGGTCGAAAGCACTTATCATAAGGATTTTATTCGTGCTGGTCAAAATAGCCAAAATCCAGCGATCGTCCTTTGTATTTGTCGGCGAGCAAGCCAATTTCAGAATCGAATCCGTTGTGAATGAGCGTTCGGTTATGTTAGCACCTTGATCAGACAGCACTTGAATGTTCCCGGAAGCGAAACCGAGCACGAGTTGCCGTGAGTCCGGAGCCCAAACGCCAGCGGTCACGGTGATGGCGGACGGGAACGAATTGCTCCAAATCCGCTGGCCGGTGGATGAGCCGATCAGAACGAAATTGTCCTCGTAGCAAATGAGTGCCGAAGATCCACAAGGGCTCCAGCTGAGGTCACGGACCTTCACTCCTCGATCATTCACCAGCTCCACGGACCATCGATCATCGTTGCGCACCCACACGTAGATAACTCCCGATGAATCACACGAAGCAAGTTTCGTTTGAACTCGATTCCAGGTGACCATGCAGATGGCTGAATGATGGCCTCTGAGGTTGAAATTATAACGGCCGTTGTCGTCCTCAGTCGGGTGGAGGTCGGTGAGCGTGATGCCCACGGAGCCCGAATCGGAGCCAACGCCGAGCAAGCCATGGCCTGGTCGGTCTGCTTGAGCCACCCATGCCAAATGGGTGATAGCAGGCTCGATCCTGGCACCTGGCCAATCGCCACTCTCCCAGGTGATCTTCATCAGAATATCAGCGAAAACATCAGTGAATAGCACACACAACGACCATTTAGTGGCGAGAACGCAGGGCACTATCCAGTCACACCGAAGGAAGACTGCCGACGGCTAGAACTTCACGTCTGCGTCTCTGCCAGCCGCGCTATTCCGCACGGGACCCGCAGAGTTGGGCGCTTGCCAAGAATGTGAATCACGGTCCAGGGTCCATTGCCACGGGTTCGATTACTCGCAACCTTCTGGTCAAGGTGGAAGTTGTGCATTATTGTTTTAACTAAGCTTAGAGTCATGACAGATGCACTTACAGTAAATCTTGACTAAAACATTTCAATTACTCCGATCGATTTTTTGTCCGGATTGTGTCCAGTCCTGGCTGTTGTTGCAAGCTTGTTTCTTCTTGGCTTTCACTTGTTTTGTTTTCGGGTCTCTCCAATAAAAGGGGAATGGGGCGCAATGTGGCTCGGGGGGGGGCACTCTGAGAAAAGTCATCTAGGACTAAGCCTAAACAGCAGGGACGAACTCCGGAGAATACGAAAATTGCTTCCGTACACCGGAGTTCCTCTCCTCTTCAAAAGCTTAGTCCTAAACGGAGCGTTTCCGTGATTTTGACGCGATGTTGCGTGGTGCCCCCCCCCCGAGCCACATTGCGCCGCCGGGGAATGGGCCGCAATATTCTATGCCATCTATATAATCCCCAATTTGTGGAGGCGCGCAGACAAAGCTCCGGGTGGTTTTAAAGCGGAAGCGAAAAGTACAATAAGGTTCACAACTATGGCTCGGGGAGGGAACCCCTGTAAAAAGGGGCCTCTTAGAAACAAAGCCGAGCAGGGACAACGTCGAGAGCAAGCGAAGTTGTTTCCCGCAAAACGAGAAGTTCCTCTCCTCTTCAAGGGCTTAGCTTGAAGCAGCTGTTTCGTCCCTGAGGCAGCTTGTAAGTAATCCCCCCCCCCCCTCCGAGTCACATTGCTCTCAAAATGGTTCGCGCACCTTTCCGAATACTTTCTCGGCGTCTCATCCAGTAAGGGGGGCATCAAGTGGCTGCCCTCACCCCCACCCCCCTAGACTGCCTACACTCCCCCTGGCGCACAGGTTTCTCGAAGTACGGGACCCCGTGAGCCAGGGGGAGTGAAGCCAGTTCAGGGGGGGGGGTGAGGGCAGCTATTAGACGTTGCATCACAATGCCCCCCCCCCTTACCGGATGAGCGCCTTCTCTTCTGTAAAATTAGAATCATGGAGACGCCGCGAACGTGGCACCAACTCCCCCCTCCCTCCCTAATTTTTGGACCCATTTTTCCAGTTATTCTGGTGTTTGACCCATATCTGCAGTTGAAAAGGGTTGACATTAGTAATCCTTTGCGTTTACTCGTTGATATTTGTCGTGTAGCAACATGATCCAGATTACTCTCCTTCTCAATCGATCTGTTTTAGGCATTTACGAATAACGAGCAAAAATGGCCTTGAACAGCAATCCGTTTGCGGATCCATTCGCTGTAAGTTGTTTACCGATTTTTTTTGTGGTACAGCAGAGCTTTCGAATGAAAAGTGTGTTCGCAGGTGTCATGCTAGAGATACGAAGAAGCAGTTGGCTAGTGTCAGAGTCCGCGATCCGTCGCGCGAATCGCAAAATCGCAAGTGCCCCATTTGAACATTTGAAACACTGAATATGAAACAAGTAGAATCATGAACAGTCGTCATTCAACCATCACCATCAAGCAGAAATGGCGGCGGGATTGGAGAGCACCTGCGCAGTATTGATCGTACTTTTTGATTTCTGTGGTCCGTCGTGCGACCAGTCGCGAACTCTTGGCACCAGCCTTGCTGTGTTAGGTCACCTTTCACTCGTATTGGTGCTTATCTATGAAGTGGTTCAGATGAAATGGCGGATTAGGCACACTTTTATAGGCCTCAAAAAAGCGAACCGAAGTCCGCAATTCGGAGAGCTGCAGTAGTAACCTAGATATTAATCAAGGCCACGGGACAAAATTGCTAGTCGCTAAGACACTGGGAAGACACCGGATGTCTATAGGTTTACTTAACCGATTACCAGTAACCGGCGTTTTTTGGCAGGCCGGCGCGTGTAGCCGGCGCCCATTTAATTACGACCCCGCCGCGTGGCTGGCGCGATCCATATAAAACTTTCATTGATATTATAAACATCTATTATATAAGCACAGCACATATATCTTATACATTTACAATATTTCACGTTTATTTTTGTTCAGTGGAATCGATTATTATCGCATGGTATAGGGAGTAGGGTAAGCGAAAGTGCGACAGAATTGAAAATGTATTTTGAAGAATATAAGTAGGAAAAAAGAGATAAAAGTGATTAAAACGTCGTTTTGATTGTTTTATATGCTCGAAGTTGTCACACAGCCGCTCTCTTTCACTTTTCTACAATTTGGCGAGAAAATTGAGAGAGTGCAACTGGAGTTTTTCACAACAAATACCAGTAATTCAGGAATTCGTTCGCATTGCACAGTCCCACGTCTGTATGTTATTCTCCGGATTCAGATCTTCACTCCTATATAATTGGAGCACGAGAAAATGTCGAAAATACCCTTATTTAAAAACCCGTGCTTCACCATGTGCAGCACGCGGACTACACAGAAGCAAATTGGCGTGCTGCACATGGTACGCAATGGGTTAACAAAATATTTATATGATCCTCTTCAAATCAAGCTCAGCACAGTGGCTGCAGTGATCTTCCAAGTATGGAGATTGTATTAAAGATAATTCACTTCTACAAAGGCTAGGTTCTCATACTAGGCGCAACAACCTTTCGATAGCGGTTATTTGGCTCACATTGTTAAGACTTGTCTTTAGCACACATATCACCTCATTATGCTTGGAATTTATGTCGTTCCAAGTGCTCTTACTTATTTTAATCCTTCAATTTTTCCTACGCGAATCTTTCCCCTGAATTCATGACGAATTTTGTCTTTCATTATTCTTTTATGTTTTCAGTTGAAATTTTTTTTTTACACCACTAACGACCTAAACCTGTTTAAGTGTTTGTGTGCGAGTTACGCTTTCCATTGGCTTAAGACTTTAAGCTGGTAGCGATTGTGGAACTTTTTCGTTCGGGAAAATAAATGTTAACTTGAAATGGCCGAGGAGTTGAAACCATGCCAATCGCCTTTTTATTTCTTCACTAAAACATATCGGGTACTCTCTACCAAAATAGACTCTTTTGACTGGTCATACTCCAATGCGTTGTGGATGCGAGGCTCATAACGACAAGCTTGACCCTCAGCGCTAAACAATATCGTCCCTTCAGCATAACATGACATAGGTAATGGTACCAGTGCAGGGTGCAATGCGGTCATGCTCGCTTTGTTGATCACAAGGTGGTTCAGCCCAAAAAAATCAATTCCCTGCTTGTGAAGGAGTGAACAACGATGACTAAACTGCAAACACAGCCGAACTCTACTCCTCTAGAGTAAACAGTTGTGTGCGTCACTTTTGGCAGAATTTGAGAGACGATCCAGGTGATGATTTCACATTCCCTTTTGCGGTTTGTGATTCAGTGACAAGAAATTTGGAGCATTTTGACTTGTATACTTCAACGCGAACGTCAAAGGATATTAAGCTGTCAAGAGATACCTGAGGCAAATCATTTAGAGGAATAATTCATGAGTCAACAGTGTACATATTGAGGTACGGGGTGATATTTTTCTCCATGAAATGATACGACTTCTTTCTCACGTCTCCTTGGCTCTTTAGATACATAGGGGTCATATTCTTTACAAACGTGCGAATCTCCACATTTACCCATGACGAGCCTTCATTCATTAGGAATAATTAGTGCAAAACCTTCGCTACTTGACGTTGACGCTTTTGTTTTTCAAAGTGCGTAGCTGTAGTAACTCACCTTGGTTCACATATTTTTGCAATAGTTGTTTTATTTTGTTTTGTCCTGTAAAGTATAATTTTTTCGCTGCACCTTGCGGTGCGAAGGTTACACAAGGATGCTGGGTTATGGGCAAAATTTTTGCCCTAGGCGAGTATCGAATGCCGGTTCAATTTCCTACAAGAGTTGCAGGTTCTGGTTCGGTTTTGTACTAGGGCGAAATGTATCGCTCAGAACCCAATATCATTAGAGTAATTGCATCTCGAATACTAGTTTTTCACGACACTTTGTGGTGAAAACCTATTACATGATGAAAGTTCCCTCTTCAACCGGTAGTTTGAGGAACTATGAGCGATGTGTTCAAGATGTGTACATATTTGAACATTTTTTTAATCCGAGGTTGAGCTGGAAAGTCGATGGAAGCGATGATGCGGCGGTATTTTCTTCAAAAATCGCCCTTCAAAGACGTCTTCCTGAGCTTTCAGGATCAGAACTAACAAAATGGTCTTCTTCTCGGGAAATGTCACAATTTTAATAACCATCCATACGCTAGTGGAAGCAATATAAAGTAGCGCGCTCAAGTTGAATCCCTCTTGAAGTAAGTGACTAAAGTGATTTGTATCTGTTCAATGTGCTATGTGTCTATACAATGAAGTGTGTACGGATACACATTAGGTTGTTTATTTTTTCCGATTCAGATTTAGCATAGTTGAAAGTAGTGTCGAATTTCATAAGTTCATGAGAAGTGGCTCTGTCGGACGATAACTCTGCCTTCTTACAACAGGTTGTCCATGTTGTTTCTTCATGAAATAAATGTTTTTTTTTTCAGGAGCCAATAGCAAAACAAGTAGCATCCAGTGGTGGTGGTGGTGGTAGTAGTAGTGGTACTGCAGAAGGAGCTGACACCTTCAACCCGTTCGCTAGTCAGGGCAAGACTTCAAATGTACCTACCCATCAGGTAAATTACGAACTTGTTTTGAAATTTCTTCAGCAAATCTAGTTTTCTCAGTTTCCTGTTATGGTGGAAGCCATTGCTTCCAATTTCTTTCTGTTCTCTCGAGTTTATACACGAATTGTGCCTTTTTTTTTTTTGCTTTGGGGCTACCTTCATTTCACATTGTACCACGACACTCACCTACAAGGGGGAAGGCCAAAAGTCTTTTTGTTCATGACACACATGAGCGAACCTGCCGCCGTTGATGGAGGGGTGGCTAACTGCAAAATGTTTTGGAAACAATGTGGGCTGTGAGTAAGAGCGGACAAGGCTTCATTCACTGCCTCCCATAGACTTGCAATCGCGCACAGAACTATGGAATTGGTCCACTATTGTCCATTTGCTACGCATTGTTCTAAGTCGGTATTTGCATAGGGCAAAAGAACACTGTGTTGTGAATGGTTGGAATCAGAATAAAATTGACATTGGAAATGTGTTAAATTTCTATTCTGGTTAATATATGAATTTTTGGTATTATTATAATATGATTTCTTTTTCTGTGATGCTTTGTAGATTCGGGTAATAAGCTGGGAGAGAACTTTCACATCTTATTTTACTGAATTAATTTTATTTATTGCCCAAACCACTCGAACACGTGAAAAGGGTAAGGTGTTATCGAATATTTGCTCATTTTCGCGCTAGGAAAATTGCATTTTTCCAGGCGCCGGTTTCAATCCTCCCCCAAGAGGTGGGGGACAAAAATCCCTTTAAATTTATTTGTTTTTAACGATATAGTTTCTTCATTTTCAGTGCATGTTTACTTTGACCTACACATTAAAATGTAGGCCCTTTATCAGGACAATCCCAGTTGGGAAGACAGAGAAAATTTAAGGGGTTTCGTCCCCAACCCTTCGGAGGAGGATTGAATCCGATCCAGGGGGAGGTGTTGTAAAGGGTTTTCAGGAATTCTAAATATGCCCGTCGGAATTTCCTTGGAAATTGTTTTGCGTATTGTTCTACTAGGCCGTTACTTTGCGCTTGAAATGGAATGCATTCAACATCTACAAAGAGAATTAATAGATACATGCCATGCACGCATATACATGAATTTTAAATTTACAACTGTTTTTGTGAGATTATAAATTTCTGCTAGTTTCTGTTCAGTGCATATCTTCGGCAAATATTGGGCAATGAAATGAAATTAGCATCTTCTACAAATTCAGCACCTGGTTCTTCAATTGAAAAAATGTTGTCGCATTCAATATCTCAGAAACGTTTTTACGTCATTTGTATTCCTATTCAAGGGCTTTCAAGCTGAGGCGGCGCGCTATCGATTAATCGAAAACGAGCTCCCCAGGCGTTTTACTAATAAGAGCGCCCATAAAACTCTTGCATTTACTTCATTTCGGTAGCTTTTACTCCGAGTAAGCTTAGAACCTGTACTTGCAGTCATTTTCCTCGATATTTGGGAATGTTTTCTTTTCGTTTTACAACAAAAAAATCAATGTTGGAATCTCAATAGGGTGTCTCCGGACTTGGAGGTGGTGGAACTTCCGTCACAATGAGTGATGAACTGTTTCGTAAACAAGAAGAACTCGAAAGAAAGGCGCAGGAGTTACGAATGCGGGAAGAAGAACTCAATCGACGTCAGCAGCAACAACAGAATTTGAATACTGGAAACATAGGTTCCTTTTGTTCCTTTTTTTTCGAAATTTTTAAGTTTGTTTTTAACAACAACTCATTTTGTATTTGTTGAAGGAGGAAACGCAGCGCCACGTCCTCACAATTGGCCGCCCCTTCCATCCTTTATTCCTATTGAACCTTGTTTCTATCAGGTTAGCCAGGGTTTCATTCGTTTGACTCCTCTTTGCTTATAAAACCAAAAATTGCTTATAAACATAATTTAATGGCGTGATTGTGTGGCGTAGATGGTGTACAACGGCACCGCTTCTCACGAAAGCGGCTCCGTTGTCAATTCCTGAATGAGTCTCGTTTGGGTAAACCAAACCGGTATTCTTCCAGCGTCGTTTTATTGATACCAGACTTGTCTGGCAGGATAAAAGCCCTGGCTGGTACATCGTCGAACCCCGCATTCATTTGTTTTGCATTCAAGTGCCACTACGGCTCTAAGTTGGTTATGGTCCATGAATGGTAGTGGGATGAGCACTATTCATTACTTTAGCATTTTTGAGCTTTCTGTTGTGCCAGATTTAACCTCTCTCTTTCCAGGATATTGAAGTGGAGATCCCAGTGCAGTTCCAGAAAACAGTGACAGTTGTGTATTACGTATTCCTAATTTATGTCTTAGCTCTATCCGTCAACGTAGTTGCTTCACTCTTCCTGTAACAATGAAATTTTTCCCCCCCCCCTTTTTTTTTTGCAGGGAGGTAGCCCAATGTTTTCAGCATGTTTCACCTATTGTCAGGAATTTATGGTAAGCCTCGTAAATTTCATGACAAATAGCTTTCAAATGTTCAAGGTCCTGTCGGGCAATTATTGCTTGCCATTATTCAACTGTGTCTGTTCTCACCGTGTTCATTTTTGTTCTGGTTCCGCCCTGTCTACAAAGCGTTCCGCAATGACTCTTCATTCAACTTCATGGTTAGTTTTATTACAGCAGGGCTCATTAAATTTCGAGGCAGCATATCATTATGTGTAGGATAACCGTACCTTTTCCTGTCCCAGTAAGTATTATCGTGGAACCTAGGTATTCCGCGGCGCACGGTGCGGCACATGCGTTTTTTTTTTTCGCGAAGCGCCTTAGGCGCGGAGTCTGAAGGCATTTTCCACAGTCTGCGGCCTCAGAGAACAGCATATGGTGCATCTGCCGAAGAAATCATATCTGGTTCGGTGGAGAGAGAGTCGTTCTCCGTGACCAACCGATTCTGATGGGATAGAGTTCATCTGATCGTACCTATTCAAATCTTTTCGCTAATACTGTATTTTTTTATCACTCAATAGCATCTTTCACACAACTGGGCCACTCTCATGATTACGATCCACAAAATTGACCGGGTTCTACGTTAAGGGTTCCAATTTTTTTCACTTTTTTTTGAGTATAATCACCTATCGAGAGAAGGCAAAAAATTCTTCTTCTCCAACGACACATGACTTTCCTAGCCAAGCTGAGCCTAGATCTCACAACTCGTCCAGCGAAAAAGTCTTACTCCTATTAGGAGTGAAACTATATTTGACCTCCAACCGCCCCCCCCCCCCAAATGCCCACCCACCAGGGAGGGGTTGAGGTAGTACTAACAGAATTGGAAAAGGAACGGTTTAGTGAAACTTCTCAAAAAAATCTTTTAAAATCTCGACAAAATCAACTCCAGCCATTTCTCACCCTGCCCAAAATTCACTAGGTTCTGAGTTGATGTTGAAAGTGCATTTCAGATGAGAGAACATTAACGTCAACCGAGTTGTCTTGATTTTTTCTTCATTTATTCCTGTATAGAAATGATTCGATTGCTCTAGAACTTATTTGACCGATTTTAGGTTTTCTTCTTCGTGCTGTTTTTCCACTCACTGTTTACTCTCGTGCAAACTCTAGGCGTTTCCTCATATGCATGTGGATGGATCAACACAATTGAGACTTTTGGAGGTATGTCGTTGACGTTTTGATTTTTTCTCAATATCTGGTCTCCAAGAGGGATTGTGCAGATTGGGTGATGACTTTCAGTTTCGATTCCGATTGCGTTGATTATGTTGCTATCGGCTCTTTGTTTCACTGCCGCTCTCGTTGGTATGATATACGCGTTGATTAGAGTGCACAAGTTGTACAGGTCTGTGTTTAGCTTTTGACACTAGCATTTAATTTTATAGTATTATTTAATTAAATGATTTTATAACTATCGAGATTGTTTCGTAGAATTTATACTTGAATTGTTCATATTATATTCAGAGGATCTGGTTTCTCCATCGATAAGGCACGCCAGGAGTTCACAAACGGAGTTATGGCTGACAGAAACGTGCAAGCAGCGGCCACCTGCCAACTCCGCGGCTGCTGTGCGGACTTTCCCCATCAAGCAACTCAGGGCCGTTTCTAGATTACGTGTGAGTGGATTTTAAGAACCTTATGAAATTCGGAATCTGGGAAAGTGTGTTGGGAGTGATCTCTGCCGTGAATACTTAAAATCCGTGTTCTGCAAAATTTTGGTTGTTTTCGTAATTAAAGACCGCTGAATTCAAAATTTTAGGGTCAGTGATTTGAGCGCTAAACGCACTGAATTCTTGAACAGCACCGAGTTAACAAATTTTCTCGTAATTGGCATCAGTACCATCTCATATCCAGGACTTCGGAGCTTCGTGGAATTGGTCAGTTTCTCGTATCCAGTCCAGGGGTGCGGTGCAGATGGAAATGAGTCACTCACAGTCCATGTGTTTCGGTGCTCTGTTAAAAGATGGCTCATTTCATCTCGAGTTATTCATTCTATAGATTTTTACTTTCTCATTGTCTTTTGCCAATACCTAGCGTTCTATATCTGGTTCCAGTTTTCGATCCATAGTTTATCATCAAATGGGTTTTGAAGCATTCACGTGAGCGTAGCCCTAGCGATTCCTTTGAAAATGTTGAGTGGTTGAAGCGCTTTGTTAGTTTCGTCTATGCTCGTCCAGAGCGGTTTGTCGCTCTTCTTGAATCTTTGGAGCCTACTTCCTCATCTTTCTTATAATATTTCCTTTGTTGGAAGTGGTTCCACTGTGATGTGTCTATAAAGAACTTTCATATTTATTAGAGTTAAATGTAGTCTGACAAATGTTATGGGTTTTGTGATGTTGTGCTATATTGCATGTACCCATCAGTGTTCCTTTCTATCATATTTGGAGGATTGATCCGGTTCCTTAATTTCATAAATAAACGTGCTTAATAAACATTTTCTCCTACATACGACTAGTACTCATAGCTGGTGTGCGATGCAAATTAAAAGCGAGTTATTTTAGAATGATTTGCATATTACATCTTCTTCTTCTCCCGCGCAGTCGCAGGGTCCGCTGTTTTTGTCAGTCGTCGCCACTTTGCTCTGTCCAGGGCATCTTCCATCGTGGCCGTGACTTCACCTAGGTCCTTCTTGATTACGTCTTTCCACCTTTTCTTCGGGGCTCCTCGCGGTCGCTTGCCTTGTACTTCGAAGTCCATCGCTGTTCTTATCGGATGGTCCTGTGGCCTCCTTAGCACAAGGAAAAGGATCCCACCTCGACATGGCCTTTCAGGATGGGATGCATATTTCTGTACCAATCTTGGGACGCTGAATTCGAATCTGCCCTCCAAATCTGCTAAACGATTCTCTGAACGAAGTTGCGAAATCGTTTATCGGCGGAGAGTGCGTTCATGAGTCACTGGAGCCGCAACGGGGATGTGCTTCGGTGGCGCAGTTGGTAAGCGGATGGACTTGGGGACTCGAGATGGAGGTTCGAATCCTTGATGAGTACGCTAGTTTTGCCTTTTATCCTTTCGGCTCCTAAACTTTTGCAAAACGGTTCTAGACCCCTTTTTGACTAGTAGCACGCCTTTTCGACCGCGAACACGTGCTGAAAACAGGGTCTCCACGGAAAATTCCGTTTCAATGGGAACCGCAAGCATCTTCCGTTTATGTAAAGGAACTGAAGACTTTATTCAATGCGAGTATTACTGAAATCGGTTTGGTTGTGCCGAAACTGTCGTCTTCAGGTGACCAGAGGGGGTCAGTGTGGTCGTTCTCCACGAAATTGTCTTCCTCTCGATTGTCGATATATAGCGTCACGCAATATCGAGGAAAAACCCTCTATCAGCTTTCGCTCTTTCCGAAATAGGTGCTCGCGTAATGTCACAGGAACCAAATTCCTTCACCAAATGAGACAGCACCACCTTTGGGCAGAACATTTCGCTGGAAGTCTGATGGGGAGTATGTTGAGAAGATGACTGTTGCGCTGCTTCTTCTTTGGGGTGGCACATGGGCATCCAAAGGTTTTGAAATCCTCTGCTGGCCAAACATGTTGTCAAATACGATTGCCGAAAGGTGTCGAAATGCGAAATCGAGCGATGGAGGTTGCGTACAATCCTCTCCTGGTCATTCCTTGAGCATTGGTGGTTGAAATGAAATTTGTGCTCAAAACCCTGTTTTCAGCACGTGTTCGCGGTCGAAAAGGCGTGCTACTAGTCAAAAAGGGGTCTAGAACCGTTTTGCAAAAGTTTAGGAGCCGAAAGGATAAAAGGCAAAACTAGCGTACTCATCAAGGATTCGAACCTCCATCTCGAGTCCCCAAGTCCATCCGCTTACCAACTGCGCCACCGAAGCACATCCCCGTTGCGGCTCCAGTGACTCATGAACGCACTCTCCGCCGATAAACGATTTCGCAACTTCGTTCAGAGAATCGTTTAGCAGATTTGGAGGGCAGATTCGAATTCAGCGTCCCAAGATTAGTACAGAAATATGCATCCCATCCTGAAAGGCCATGTCGAGGTGGGATCCTTTCCTTGTAGCACATGCCCATACCATCGCAGACGCTGTTCCCGTACCTTCAGCTGGACAGGGGCAGTCTGCATGACCGCTCTGACGTCCTCGTTTCTAACCTTGTCCAGCCGCGTCCAGGCCCATCTCAGCATCCTCATTTCGGCAGAGTGGAGCTGCCTTTCCTGATTCTTGTTCAGGGGCCCAGCACTCGCTGCCGTAGAGCATCGCAGGCCTTACCACTGTCCGGTACACCTTCCCTTTGAGCGCTCTGGAGCACCTTCGATCGCAGAGGATTCCAGTGGACTCCCTCCATTTCATCCATGCAGCGTTGACCCGAGCCTTCACCGCCTGATCCACACTACCGTCGGCTGCCAGATCACTCCCAAGGTATCGGAAGTCCTCCACCTTTCGATGGTCTCACCATGGCCGTCCACGAAATTAAAAAGTTTCAACTTTTGAAAGTGATATGTTAGTCATTTTGGTAAGTTCTCTCGCTTGCAACCATCTCGAGCTAGGAACTCGTCTCTTGACATTCAGCTGTAGCCACCGATGGAATTAGTGATATCGGGGCGCAATCCTAAAAAGCATCAATGTGTGCCTGGATGCGTGGTGATCAGAGATTTCGACGTCACAGTAATAATGATTTATTTGATTCTACATCAAACCTCCGTCGACAGTTTTGAAAGGCCGAAAGAGGTGATGCCGAGTGTAATTATTGTCGCCACCTGAATCTCCCAGCCGCAGTGAAATTGCAACCTAAAACTTGCCGGTTAGGTGGAGATGCCTGATTCAGAGCGTGCCGATTAATCTATTCTGTGATAGAGATAGAGTAGCCGAGCGTGACATGTAATCGTTGTCGTGGATGGAAAGTGTTGACAAAGGCGCTAGCGCCTTACAAAGTGAGCTATTGACGTCTAATGTGAACTAATGGACTTCGCACACACCTCATGACACGCTGGATTAGCGTAGCGGCTAATTTAAAACGAGCCATGGAGCAAGAGAGTTCAAAACTCGTCCAGGCACGCTCCACCCCCTTATTCCAAGAAGGAAGAGATTAAGTCTGTAAAGAGTTTTATCGGCGCTTAGCTACTTCTTTTTTGATTTTCAAGCTGTTCGACATCCATATTTTCATTATCGTCTGCTGTTCCCCCAATCTGATCTGGGATTGTTGCTTTGACTCCAACCTAAAGAAAACCTAAAAGCGACAGTCAGAGACCTTGCTTCTCAATTTGATAACACTATGAATTCCAATGATTTATCACAAGTTCACCAGTACTGTTACGATAAACTTAAAAATATGATATTATCCCGTTCTTCCACTTTATCACCACCATTCGGTTATTGGAACGATATTTTTCACAACAATTGTAGTTATCAGCAATTATTCAAATAGTATTACAGATAACTCTCTCAAGATCGCCTTTTTATAGTATCTAAATGTATTCAAAGGAATGATGCGGAAATTCCAGCTGAAGGTTCACTGTTAAACAGGACTTTCTTCCCAAGATCTACATGATTAGTGTTGTCAATGAGAGCGACAGCACATCCTCCCCATCCTGCACCGGTGAGGCGAGCTCCTATGGCGCCTGCACTTAAGCACTCGTCAACTAGCTTGTCCATCGAAGCGCAGCTGCATTCGTAGTCCTGAAGAAAGGAAGTTTGCCGTGGTGAGTTCACAATGCATGAGCGGATGGGTAAAAATTCACCTTGCTACAACTCTCATGGCTTGCAGTCATGAGTCTTCCCATTTCAAAAATGTCGTTGTTCCTGCATGCTTGTTCAAATTTATTCACCCGATCCGCTTCGCTGTAGACATGCCGAGCACGTGATCGCAGTTTGAACGATGCCACTTGAACGATAAAGAATTATGGTCGCAGTAACTCATCAAAACGCGCGCACAATATTGTCGTTGAGTGCACATCGTTAGCCGGCCAGCAAAAGTGTCACAGGACGTATGCTATCCTTTCCCCCGAGTAGAGGGACAAAGAATTTCTTTAGAATCATTTGTTTTCAATAATATTTTCATTTCTTCCATTATATGCTTGCTTTAGCACACCATACGTCGCAAATAGGCCTTTTCTTGAGGCGATTTTGGGTGGAAAAACAGGAAATTTAGAGAGATTTTCGTCCCATTCCTCAAAAAAGGATAGAGTGTGAGTGGCTAGACAGAATGCGACTTCTCCGCTTTTGCAGCGCAAAAGAGTCGCATTCTGTACAAGCGACCCAAACCCAGAAGGACAGGGTCTGGGTTCGATATAGAGTACTGACAGTCACCCCTCTTCGTGGTTGTGATAACAACAGCAGGGGATTATCCGCTCTATCATGCGTATGAGTGATTTTCTTCTGAAGTGCTAGTGTTAAATATCAATAATAAGAAATCCGTGCAAATGTCTAACTAGCCAGGGAAGGTCGATAGGTCCAAAAGGAAATTTGCAATTTGGTGAACATCTTTGCATTCCTGTTCGGATGTTGGGTTCATTTCATATACGCTTAAAGGCTCTCTTAACGGATTTATAAACCGAAAATGTGCAGTGATATGGTCCACGCTCACAGGTGGAAAACTTCTGAATCAACTCCTTATTTAGTTTGCTCTTTTCTTCAACACAGCTAGAAAGACTTTTGACATCATTACTGCATCAATATCTGCACACAGACGCCTGTATGAAAAGAATGCGAGCAACTGAGGCAGTTCCGGTAAAAATAACATGCAAAGCAGCGCGGGAGAAACTCCAGAATTCCGTTCAAAGCACCAATAAGCAAATATGAAAAGCAGTTCTGAGCTCAGCATGTGGGGCGAATGCAGAGATGTACAACACATTGCAAATAGCCGGACCGAACTCACACAAAATAAAAATGGTATTTCAATTAGTCTCCCCAAAGATGGAATGTAGCAAGTGCGGAAACTGCTCTAAGAAAACAACGACTTCAACATGAACAACTTACTGTGTTGGGTATTTGGACTGAGGCACTCTGCAACCGCGTCCTTTCCCAATATCTGTTCTAATTGTTCCCGAGAAATTTCTTCAGGTAGCGACTCACACATTACCACCATTTCTTCCAGTGATTTTCCAAGAGCTTCCTGAAGGAAAATGATTGAAAATGTTGATGCTCCTGTCATTTACAAGAATGACTTACAATAAAACGCAACAATGCAATCAATGGGTTCCTCTAAACCATGACTCAAATTTTCTCAAAAGAATAGCTACATTAGCAGTTACACTGAAGTATGGCTCAAGGCTACTGCCAGCAAATAGCCTTGAAGAAAATGCTCAGATTGAAGGTAGAGTTAAGATGAAAAGGGTAGGCTATTAAATATCAATGATAGTGGCGGGTGCATAGGATGAAAGAAAAAAAAGCAAGAGCAACGGTCGGAGAACACCCAAGGCAATGACACCCTGCACTTTGTCCTGATTCCTTTCGCACTTGCATGCGAATCTTATCGGTCCTGCCTCTTCAACGCTGACACACGCACACACACTCTCTCTCTGCTCTGTATTCAGAAGGCGAGGGAGTGGGCGGGCAAAGGAGCGGCGCAGGTATGACCTTGCTGGGCTACTGAAGACATTTCCTTCGCTGCGAAGCGCGCATCGGGGGGGGCCGGCACGGCTTTCGACTAGGTATATTTCCTCTTCCTTGACCTCGACGTTATCGTGGTACGTGTAAAAGTGAAAGCGAAATGATTCACGATCCCTATAGCTCGCTTCCTCACTAAAAACTAGATTACTTCAAGCGAACTATCTGTTGCACCACGGTGCCTATCTTTCCCACCCTTATCGGACGCAAAAGTCTAACCTGATCTGGCACATATGACATCATATGAAGTCTTTAGGCACTTATTTGGCAGCATGGCTCACCTGAACATCCTTCAATCGCAACGATCTGGCTACCGACATCTCCGGCAGTTTGCAACAAAAGCTAAAAGATCAAATCATCGATAATTTTCAGGCATCGTGACATTATCTTTGCTTGTGAACATCTGATCTTGTCCATTTTCAACTACAATAGCAAATCGGTTTCACGGGTTTCCACTATACTACTATACTGTTCACCTTTCCAGCTAGTCTCCCCTCCACAACTCGTTCGTTGAACTGTGAAGTAGCTGCCTGCAAAAGAGCATTATAGAAAATCTTCAGCTGGTCAACCGGATTGAAGCAAACGGGAAACCCATACTTGTTCAACGTATCGCCACAGTGAAGAACCGTAAACGATGCAAGAGATGGCAGCGCTACTTTTCGTACTTGAAGTGGGTTGAAGTCAACCTTGAGGGCACTTCCTTCTACAGCGAGTACCTGCAAATAGAGAAACCTTGACTACGCTTGTAAAAGTGCACAGAATCCTCTGAACGCACCTCCACAGCTTGATCCATTCCTCCACCCTGAGTTCCAATGTAATGCTCCGCAGTAGAGCATAGATCGGCGAGCTCCTCTCTTACAAATATTCGATAAAGTGCAATCTTCATGAAACAAGACAAAATGCTAACTAACCGAGTGATCTCTTTGAAAATATTTCCTGTATGTATCATCAAAGTCACCATGGCGGCAGCACAGACAAGCGAGGAGCTGCTCGATAGTCCAGATGAAGGAGGGATGGAACCTAACTTATGCACTAGTATCTATTCGCCTGTAATAATATTCAAATCCCAGTGAAACCTATCACAAGTCATTTAATGTAGCTGCTTATTGCTGAAAACCACAATCCTTTGCCAACACACCTCCAACAAGCATGTCGAATCCGATTTGATCTACGCCTAACTTGCTCACAACTCCTTTCCATCCACAAAGAATATAATCAAACCACTGCGGCGGAGAAGCGCCTTTCCAATCCGACGGCAGTGTGATCGAAGATTGCCTGATAGGGGCTAAGTGCGTAAACCAGCAAAAAGTACCGGGATGATAGGTAAACTCACGGGTACTGAGTGTCGACATTGACGAGTCGAATTTCCTGCCTCCCATTCGGAGCTGCTAAAATTTCTGTGCCCTCTTCAATCGCCATCGGAAGAACACCATAGCCGTGATAATCGATATGTTCACCTGAAAGATGGGGATCGAGACGTTTGCATTGAAAGCATCAAGATAGAGCAGCGTCCGATCCCGATATTTGGGAATGAACGCTGATTATGGGATAAGACCGCAAATAAGAACAAGATCGAGTGTAAGCGAAAAAATGAAAAAAAAGCTCGTACCTATGAGATTCACTCTGCCCGGACAAAATACTCGAATCGTTGGTAAACTTCCAAAGGTGTTCTGGAATTTTGTTGCAGCATCTGGTATAACGACCCTGAGAAAGAAAATATTCGAAGACTCGATAAAAGCAGCATATGGAGGCTCTGAAATGATGTCTTCAGAACTACTCCGAGCCCGATATTGAGCACAAGTTCTGGGTGTCCAGTACTCTATGGGACCACCACGTGATTTTTGATACACTACAAAAGACGCTACATTGTCTGATGAAGGCCGAATATTTTGGTAACCACGACCGTTTCGACTTTGCCTAATTGTTTGAGATCAGTCAAGTCAGCATATTTCACCCAGTATATGCTCTGGTTGAGTAGGACTTGGGTGTTTTAAAGGCTTTTAAGTTCCATTTTACTATGTTAGAAGCACTGCCTGTGAAGAAGTAATCCAACATAGAAAAATAAACCCTAGTAGAAGCTTAGGGCGAGTAGGGGGCGAACAGTATCATGAGCCCTTCAGAAAAAGTTGCGCGAAATGCACCGAACGACCTAATTAAAACAATCGCAAAAAATTCTGGAATTAAGCAGACGGTCTCCAGCAATTCAAAAAAAGGCGCAGCCAGATATATAAACATACTAAATTCATAAACCTTTCCAACGAATGCTTTTCGAGTCTTTTCTTCTGTAGTTTGGCTACCAGACATGCCCATACTATTAATATGATTGATGCAATTTGGTGCTTTCTTTTTTGAGTTGATTGGAAAGTTACCTCACTGAGTTTCAACACGTATTGGGTTTTAGCCGCAGTTCGAGCGTTCACCCGCGCAGAAAAAAGTGGAACTGGGGCGTGACTCCGGATGATTATCAACTGGAGGTGACGGGCGAACAGCAACAAGCTTTCTTCCTCTTCCAGAATAAACTCCATGTCGGGTAGACGAAGTCCCGAAGTCATGGAGCGACCTACTCGTGGGTTGAAAAGGATAGTCGAGGTTATGAATCAATGCAAATTTGGCGTCATAATGGCGCAATGTTCCCCGAAAATGGAAATGAAAAAAAAACAAACAGGAAAACAGAGTTTCTCGCTACGACACCTTGCTAAATGCATTTGATAGTTAACCCATTCGACCGCGCGGGATTGCGCAATGGCAGTACAGTCAGGAAATTTTTGTTCAATAAAATTTGAGTGGACGGAGATTTCCTCTACCCAGGGCTGACGTAGATGAATGAGGGTATGAGGATTATTTTCATGGAAGAAAATGTTCCAAATCCCATTTGAAACGCGGTAGCCAACGGTGGATGCCATTGCTCGAGTGAGATCTTTGTCAGCCACCGGTGGCTGACATTGTCACGAATGGGTTAAAGACTATCAAATGTATCTATATACCTCAGTTACTTCAGTTAAAGAGGGAACATTAATAAAAAAAATTGCGAAAACATCCGCAAAAATTCCTCACCTGCCCATGTCCTGTCGATGGTTCGAAATTCGATCGCTGTATCAGCGCTGACGTAGCAGACAGTCGAAGCGGACGCAGAGTGACCGCTATCAACGAAATCTGAGTTCCTGCCGCTCCATTTGAATAAGATTAGTTCGAGTCATGTAAATATTGAGAACCGTAAGAATCAGAGAAGTTGCCTGAGATACTGATTCTTCGCCCGACCTTGTTTTTGATCTGAAAGCAACTACGACAATGTGCTACCTTATCTGAGTTATTTTAATCTTTTCTCGAATTAGGTGAGATCAGCATGAAACACCAAATAAGAGTGGCACCGAAGTTCTAAGTAAGTATCTGCCATGATCTTTTTAGGCGCGATGTGGTCCCGGGGAGCCAGCCGCCGCCGTGGCGCGCGGCATGTTCGTAGGCTTCAGTGCCTGAGCAGGAAATCCGTGATCAGTAGCCAGTGGGGGGGGGGGCGAGAGATGAGTCACTTGACATATGTGAAAAACTGGAATGGGTCCAATACAA